AACTTGGACCCGGCGAATCCTGCCTCCCTACATTGCACACAGCCTCCTCCTGCAAGGACTGGATTGCCACAAGCCCCCTGGGGCAGCACACTTCCCTGGCCACTGAGTGAGATGGAGTCACTCAGTGAGGACCCTTGCCGGGCAAGCAGGAGAACTGGGCACACATGCCTCCTAGAGGCAGCCCATTGCCGCAGAGGCTTCTCAGGAGCAGAAGCGCTCCTCCGCTCCCCTCAGGGGTTGAGCCACGAGAGTTGTTAAAATGCCCTGGAAAGCCTGCGCTGGCAGCTATCACCAGTGGACAAGGTGAGAGCCGGAAAGGCTCAGAAAGAGCTGCGGGAGGCAGAGGGAGGCGAGCGGCAGGGCAGCTGCATGGCAAGCCTGCAAGAGCAAAAGCCAATTCCATGTGCTCCAGCAAAGAGGAGCCTTTTGAATTTGGAGCCGGAGGCCATCTTGAAACCACGTGGTCCAAGATGGCGGCCCCCAGCAGCTCAGAGAAGGCAACCAGGAGCCCAGCTCTCAGCCCTCCAGCAACACCACCACCGGAGGCTCTGAGGAGCCCTTATAAAGGTGAGAAACCATTGCAGAGGCATTAGCCAAGGGTGGGGGAGGCAGCAAAGGGCCAAAAGGAGGCTTATCAAGGAGGTTAAAGAGGCAGGCGGTGGATCTATCCCCCCCCCCAACCCTACCTCCTAGATGGATCACAGAGGCAGCTGCCACAAGGCTTGCAGGAAGAACGCTCCCCCCCCACAACCTGAGAACTCCTTCCCCCAGGGGAGGATCCCCTTGGCTTGTCCTCCGGTGTTTAATATTTGAAAACAAGTTTATTAAATTTGTGTATTCTCAGAAATTTTTATTTTTTGACTCTACCAATAAAATGATTGTTTTTTTCCTATTTCAAAATAGTTAACGTGATTGCTCTTTGTATAATTTTATTTTCTAATCCACAGGCAGTTTTATAATGCGAACAATGTTTTCTTTCTAGCATTGAATTTAATTAGAAGATTTATTATAAAATATTTTTAATTGTCCCTCAACTTTTTCTCAACTTTGTATGAACTTCCACTGGGGTTAATTATGTGGGTACTGTAAGGTGTATAGTGTGAAGTGTAAGGTGACAGTCAATGTATTTCAGCCTTAATTGTTTTTAAAAGAGACCCAGTTCCTTAAAAATTTTAATTTGAAATTACAGAAGCTGTGTCCTCAAGATCATGCAGTAACATACTATCTCATCTTTCATTCTTATATAGTTATAAGATATTTAGTTCATTGCTCTTCTGGATCAAACTCTTTCCTCAATTCTATCATTTTAGAAAAGTTCCAAATTCTATATCCTGCTGGGAAAGCTTTTAATTCTCGCAGAATTCTATGTTGATCTTGTTTATCAAAAAGAAACTAATACAGTCCTTCAGTTTTATTATTTCCCTTCTGCTGTTTAACATTTGTATGAAGCCACTGTGAGAATAATTTATAAGTTTAGTATGCTGATGAGGCAAAGTGATGGTAATATTATGTATCAAATCAAGTTGCAGTTGCCCTGAATCGCAAACCAGACAAGGCATTAGTGACATGGCTGGATCATGTCACTGTGACATGATCCAGTTATTGGATCATATCATAGTGGATGAAATTCTGAACACCATGCCTCACATCACCCAAGGGCAGTGAAATTGAAATTCCCAAGAACCATCAGCCTTGCTGATTCCACTATTGATCCAATACAAAGGCAACATTTCTGGCAGAGATGTAACTGTCCAGCAAGGTGGCTTGTAGAGTAACAACATAACTCTGTCTAGACTGCAGCCTCAGACAGACAACCTCACATCTGGTTAATGGACTCTTTGGAAACCATCAAGCTTTTGCAAATGTTCCTCTTGGCTTCTAGGTGCTTGCTAAGAAAGGATTTTTCAAAATGACTATCAGATCATTAGTATTTCTTATACAGTAATTAACACACTCTGATGCTAAGGAGTTAGACATTCTACTCCCCCTTCCCACCTGAAAAACATTCTGTTCCAACTTCCAGTTGCCTCACATTCCGTTATCTCAGTTCAAACTGGCAGATGTTCCATTCCTTCACTCAGGAGTGGTTTGGGGCTCCTTACAGTACTAAACATCGGTACCTCACCAAAATGTCTATGCCTTCAACTTATGGAACTGCTTCCAAACTCAAGGCGGCAGGAGAGATATTCCTTTATGAGTTTCATTCACTGACACCATTGAGTCAACTGATTGTGAACCGAACATCTCCTGCATAGTGTCCCAGCCCCAACTCACTTCTTACACTGACCTCCTCTCAGTTCAGACGAATCTCTTCTTTCTACTGTAACTCCAGTTAAAGAGAAAAGAGGGAAAAATGCAGGAAAAGATTTTTTGCAATTAGAAAAACACAAGTAAAAAAGTATTGTCAAAGTCATCCCAAAGTCAATAGAGAGGCTGTAAAAAAGTATGCATCTATTAACCCCTATATTAATCAGGCAACTGCAGCTAAATACAGTAAAAAGATATCACAAATCAGATCAATGCCTTGGACTAATAAGTATTTGTCTAGTTTTAAATATGAACCTCAGATTGATTACTCCAGGGAAGGTTGTTTGATCTCGGATCTTGGCTACCCTGTGCCTGGTGTTGTGTTCTGAAGTGGCAGGATGGGACTCCCGGGTTGTACTGCAGTGGTTGAGCCCTACCCTGAACCCTTACACAGCCTTATCACCCATCAGCATCCAATGGCACAGCACTTTCTGCTGCCCAGAAGTACAATGGATGTTTCCAAATGACATCTTTTGGAGCCAGAGAGGTGAAGGAGGGAAATTTTATGCCAACTTTTGAAGTGCAGGGGCAGGTCTACCACAGGATATGGAGTATCATGGCGGGACCTCAGCAGCAGCCTTCATTTCTCCAGATATACTTTGTTGGTGATGATGATAATGAGAGGGACATCTGCTGTGGAATCTACCCGGATGTTAATCTAGAACTGGTTACCCAACTGCAGAAGTTGTTGCGTGAACACAAGAAGTATATTTGTTGTAACTGTATCAGTAACAGAAACTTACGGTCTCTAACAAAATAATACAGTGCCTTTTTTAACTACTCATACATTTTCAAGCTTTAAGTGTCAGTTTATCAAGCACGATCGTAGCGAAGCACGGTATCCAACTAGTATATAATATGCAAGTGACCCAAGCAGTATTGCTTGAAAAGTTATTTTGGGAAAAATAAATTTAATTATTTTATTTTATTTATTTATTAAACTTTTTTATGCCCCCCCCCATCTCTGCCAGAAGATGACCCTACAACAGAAATGGTTATTCCTTTTGTACAATAAGGATGAGTTACTTGATGCTGTTCAGATCTAAGTCAGCATGGTCAGAGCCTAGAAATGTTGAGAACCAAAACCCCATAAAGTTCAGAAGTTGCAGATTACCTATCCATGTCTTATAATATGGGTTACCTTATGAAAATGATTATGAGCTAATTAGAGAATACTTGATGTACTCCAAAAATTTAGTTGCCTTGTTACACATGTACTTTAAAAGATGTTCTTGTCAGGGAATTGAAATATTTTTTATTTGGCCTTTATTAACATATAAGACTATTGAATCAGAAAGTATTTTGACATTTTTATCATTGGACAATCTTTGCTAATAGATTTAGAAAAAATATTAAAGAAAAATATGATCAATCTTCAGTTTAATAAAAACTAGAAAAGTATAAGAAATATCCTCTTTTGGTTGCAGTTGGTGTGATCAGATGCCCAATTTGTCGCCAAGAATGCAGACAGATAGATTTGGTGGATAATTATTTTGTCAAAGATACATCTGAAGTACCAAGCAGCTCTGATGAGAAAACTGAACAGGTATGTCACTTCCACCTTTTCCTCTTCGCAACATAGTTTGATTTACATTCTGTGTAGGGTAATATGCTGTGCATTTGGTAATTTCCAGAATATGTAAACATTTGAAGATCACATTTTTCTTGATTCTAGGTATGCACCAGTTGTGATGACAATTCTAGTGCTGTTGGGTTCTGTGTGGAATGTGGAGAATGGCTTTGCAAAACCTGTATAGAAGCTCATCAACGTGTAAAATTTACAAAGGACCATATGATCAGAAAAAAAGAAGATGTATCTTCAGGTGAAAATATTGATTGAGAAGTTATGATGAAATACTTTGAGGCATGTTATTTCCCTAAAATAATGAAAATCCAGGATTTTTCGTAAAAAGGTTGAGGAACCTGCATGTAATCAACTGAAAAATATTATTGAATGTTTATATTGTAGATGATTTTATTCAGCTGGAATATTTAGAGAGACTAGTGCAAATTGCCATTTTACATTATATGTAATTTCATTTATATCAATATTTTATGCCAATTTTTCAATGCTGTGCTTGAGAAATATTTTAAATAGTAAATAATATTTATCTCTTATATTTAAATACCCCATTTTGCAATATCTACAAAATATTTCAAAATCCTATGTCAGAAATAGCCCGACAAATAAAGGTAAAACTAGTAATGCTAGCTAAAACAATTTAAAACAGATTAACGTTTAAGGCCAACATAAGTGTTCATTCAGAAAAGTGCTGAAACTCTTCCTGCTTTGGGCTGAAAAAGAAGCACACCGAATACAAGCAGGGTTTTCAATCCCAGAGACAATTTCTTCAGCCTCAGTGTGGTCTCGCTGCTCTATGGCTGAAAATCCTGCTGGGAATTTGGTATGGACCTCTGAAAAGATGGCAGCAGTTTGACTTTTTGAAGAAGCTCACAGGAAACATTGCAAATGGTAATCACATGATGGTGGGCTGCTTGATTGATAAGTGCAGTCACTTTTTCTGACTCAAAAATGTTATTAAAGATATAAGCTTTTGTGAACTGCATCTCCCTTTATCAGATGCATGGAACCCCTTGACTGATGGAGGATTTAAATCAGGATGAGGTGAATAAAAAAGGGAGCAGAAGACCGAGTAGTTGTACATATTCATGAGATAGATTAAAAGTGTGTTATCACTTATGTGTCAAAACCTACTGACCTAACAGACTTTGTGAAAAAAAATCTATTTAGCTTCTACTTCAGCACTGAAATCCAAGAGTGACTTATAAAGCACAAACTACATGAAATTCTCTCTCTCTCTTGTCTCCCTCTCTCTCTCCCTTTCTCTCTCCTTCTCTAAGATAAGGTGATGAAAGGTAGTTTTCTTACAAATGACGTATATTTAGCAAGGTACATCATGTTTTAAAATAGATATGTACAGACTTCAAACATGCAGGATTTACTTTTAAAATGATTTGAGCGTGAACAAATAGTATAAAAGAGCTTTTAACATAAAGGGTGGTATTGTATTTACATTCTGCAGGAGTTGAGAAATGGCAATTGAGATTAAGCCGTGATCTTAAGAGATAAAGAATTACAGGTACAGGTACTCCTCAGTTTATGACTGTTTAATGTTGGTTTGAAGTTATAATGGCCTTGGAAACAGTCACTTGCTATCCATCCTTGTAATCATGTGATCACAATTTGGGCTCTTGGTAGCCACTTTGTATTTATGATGGTTGCAGTGTGCCTTGCAGTCATGTGATCATAATTTGCAACCTTCCCAGCTGGGTTCTGACGAATTGGACTTTGTTTAACAATCATGTATTTCACTTAATGACCACAATGATTCACTTAACAATCACAGTAAAAATGGTCATAAAATTGGGTCATGTGATGATACTTTAATTACTGCATTGCTTAGTGATCAAAGTTGTCATAAGTTGAGGACTATCTCGAAAAGAAAAAAGTTGTAGTGATAAGATGAGACAAGGTCGTTTAGTTTTATAAATGTGAATAATGCTGGCCAATTTACAGCAAAAAATATCACCGTATCTTTTTCTTGGATATACAAATAAATGTGAAGACTCCCTTTGTTTCTTTGGCTGGCTAAGTAATTAAATAGCTAGCCATGGGTTATTACAATTAATCTGCCCTTTAATCTAGGTACGATTTGCTGAAGATATATTAATTAGAGATAGTATATTTTTTGAGAGAAGCAAACAGCTTAACAAGATGGTTTGTGTAATATTTATTGGCGATCAGTGAAGCATTTCAGTGAGGATAAACAAATAATAATAAAACAAATAGTCTTCAACTAGCTTTCATTGTCTGCATTACCAGTTATATTGGATTCCGTGGAATTTTGGTTTGTGACTTGGACAGTCTGTCTCTTTCAATACAGAAGCTGTTGGAGCATCTGGTCAACGTCCTGTTTTTTGTCCTGTGCACAAACAAGAACAGTTAAAACTTTTCTGTGAAACCTGTGACAGGCTGACGTGCAGAGATTGTCAGTTACTGGAACACAAAGAACATAGGTATAGTTATCTGAGTCTTTATAATACACATTTTCTTATATAGATAACTTTGAAAAATATTCCTCAAATAATTACTACATTTAAAGTCTTCTTTCCTTTTGCGCCAAATAGGCCTGTAGTAATTCAGCCTTTTGTTTCTAATCCTGATATAGTTAGGTCATGTGACAATTAAAAATAAGTAGACATCTAAATAAAAAAAATCTTTGCCAAGGTAGTCATGACTTTTAATTGTTAACTTTATATATGTTTGTACATTAGTAAAGCAATGTTCTTTGATTTTAGATGATACCTGAAGCAGGTGCCATTTTAGAAAGAAACATTCCCTCCAGTATGGTGGTGGTGGGTGGGAGGAAGGAAGGAAATGTCTCTTCTAAGTTAGTACCAGTGCTTTTGGTTCTTGTAAGTACACTTGTCTAAAAATATTTTTTTGTAAACTATATTGCCTAATTAACCAGAAGTATTTTTAACATATCAGGATTTCATAAATAGTTTAAAGTTACACCACTGAAATTCAGAGATGTTTGTAGTTTTCTTTTGCTTTGTTGTTCTTTTAGATCAGCATTAATAAATTGAGTAAAAGAAGGATAGCAACAAATTTTAATAGTAGTTTAGCTACAAAATTTTCATTATATGATTTAGGTCTATGGAGCACATTGGATCCTGAGGGGAAATGTTATTTTGGAGTACATTTAGGTATGCATCTGTGGTAACTTTTTAAATCAAATATAGTATTTTCCCGGATTCACTCTGAACTTTGGAGTTTAGCAGCACTATGCCAGGAATAGACACAGATGTTTTAATTGTTGCTGACAGATGCTTTGTGAGCACTTCCATATCCTCTGAGGCACCTTCCTCATTCATAACAGAAATGCAGCTCCAGTATGATCCTTGAACTGATTAAGAAAATTGGAAGAAGTTACATTTCATAAATGCTGAATTATTACTTGCTAAGATGCTATTGGAATCAGCAATGTTACTGTTGATATTTTAACAACAGTTGAACTTCTCTTTGAATTCATTACTTAGATTATAGCATAATTGTTTTTAAAATAGTTTTTAAGACAGATATCGTAGTAATTCTAGCAAATTCAGTTTTGTTGAATGGACAGAGTATAATTTTTGAATAGAAACGGTGTCTATATCTTGTGCAAAACCAAGGCAAATTCTGTTCTGTTGGAATTACAGATTTGGAAATCTGTATCAGTTTTATCAGTTTACTTAGTTTATGTCATTTTTATCTCTGATGTCTGTATAAATAAACAGAAGGCATAAAAATATGGGAAGCATGATTCCCTCTCCTTCTTTCTTAATTATCATTAGGAATCTCATTTTTTGTTAGGTAGTTACTAGCATTAAAGATATAAAAAACAATATGTTCTTATATGTTTGTATATGAAAATATTTTAATGGTTTACATCCATGTTATATCTTCCTATTTTTCCCCTTTATTATTTAACAAGGTTAAAGACATTAAATTACTTTAGTTCCCATCTGTTTTTAAAATAATATATTGTATTAATGTATGTATTAAGATACTTTGACAATCTGGGTTTAGCATAGTATAAATAATAGATATATATCGTATTATGTAATCTATTTTACTATTTGTTTTTAATTTAGTTTATCTAGAATAAGTAAGAGTAGTAAATTTGAAGTAGCAATAGAGAAAATGTTTTTGATGGACTATTGACAATAGTTCTGATGCTTATCGTATACCAATTGTAATCTGGATGAGCACAATAGACAGATTTGTATGGTGTGTGTTCTGGTGACAAAAGGAAACAATGGCTCTTCTTCAGAGTTCTTACCTATCTTTCCCAATTAAATGTGCATTGGAAGCAAGCAAGATTACCATCAGTTTGCAAAAACAACTATTTCCATAGGTCTGCCTCTGGATTTCATATATGAGTAGCTGTTTTGACAAAATGCCATAATACAATAAAGTTCTCACATTATTTAGAGTCTCTTGGTGATAATTATTTTGAGACACAAGACAAGCTAGGGCAGGGATGTCAAATTCGCATCATCATGTCGTCATCATGTAACGTATCGGAATCCCCCCCCCTTGCTAAACTAGGCATGGGTGTGGCGAGTGTGTAATTCATCCGGCCTGCGGGGCACAAGTTTGACAGCCCTGAGCCAGGGTATAATTCTGATGACATAGATATGCATCTGTTCATACACAATAAAAATTTATTGGTAATGTCTAAATTCAGAAGAACCTGGGTTTATTTTAATACATCTACAATATGTGATAGCTTACCATCTTATTAATAAAAAGTAATCATACTCTGAATTTTCATAGTATGTATGTTGTGTTTTCTGGTTTGGAAGGTATCAGTTTTTGGAAGAGGCATTTCAGAATCAAAAAGGTGCTATCGAGAATCTCTTAGCGAAACTCCTTGAAAAGAAGAATTATGTTAACTTTGCAGCTACTCAAGTACAAAATAGGTAAGTAACAGTTTCATTAAAAGAGCTGATATTTTATTTAAATTGGGTGAATTGTTAAAATTTCAGTATTAGATGGTTTTCCTTAAACAGTTGGTAACAGTGATAACCAAGTTTCTAGGAAAAGAAACTTCTATATATATACCAGCTGCATGAAAAAGCACAGATGGCCATATAGAAACATTGTACAAATGTTTATTTTTAGGGATATTTAACTACTTTGATGTTTCAGTCTCAGGTGAAATAATTTAGTACTTTTTTTTCTCATTTTAAAAGTCATTGTAAGGCATTGAAAAGAGAAGTCAAGAAATGTTGGCTCACTTGTCAGAGCTTCTTGACTCAAAGAAAATATGGTGCATCAGCTTGTAGTGATCTGTATATAGGAAATCCATAAATGCCATTAAAGAATATTAAAAATGTATTATACTTAACACATCTGGTAAATATAGTATACTAAATACAAATCCTCCTACATTGTTTGATCTTTATCCTTTCCTGTAGTTTGTTATAATTGGCTGTCAGTGACCTTCTTATGATCAAAGTCTGCCATAGAAAATCCATCTAGATTTTCTTCAGCCTATGGGAAAGAACAAACCAATGTGTAAGCATTGTGGTCCATGAGATTCCTATAGCAATGATTTCGAGATACTCTGCCAGGGTGAGGCTATTTGCAATTTGCACAAGCACTGTGTGCTTTTTTCAAAAAGCAACTAGACTTTCTTGGTTTTTTTCTTTGAAAACATTTCATTTCTCATCCAAGAAGATTCTTCAGTTCTTCAAAATGTTTTCAAAGAAAAAAGCAAGAAAGTCCAATTGTCTTTTGGAAAAAATACCTTTGGGGCAACTATGATTTAAATGATTGAGAATCTCCATAGATAGTCATTGTGCACCATTGTTTGTATTTGATTCCTATTTTACACAATGTGATTCAGTAATCTAATTTTACCTCACTGATACACATCAATTAATATCCATATATGATTGACATACTACTCTGTTTTGATAGAACTACCTTCCTTCTGCTCCAAATGGTGGGAAGGAATAAACAGAGAAAGGAATATTAAGATAATGGAATTCAGAATTGTTTTTTTTTTAAATTTTATCAGAGTGTCAAAATCAGCTAGCTGGTATTTATTGCAAGATGAAGATTGGGGAAGCAAACCAATCACATAATAGCAGCTTTATTTTCTGATGTTCTAATTTTATGGATATGTAATTCACATTTTAAGTTACTACAGTTTAGGAAAACTATAACACAGAACTCTCTGTTATAGTACTGACATTTTTGTTATTGATTTATGCACTTGAGATTCATATGGTTTGAATCCTCTGAGTGCTAGAAACTTGTACTTACAGATCAGAATTTTGTTTACCAAATAAGAACATTTTGTTTTTTATGACATTTCTTCTTCTAGAATCCAATCCTATGTTTGCAGTTTATTTAACTTGTGCATTACTTTTAATAAAACTTAGTCATATCAATTCTCATTCTTGGCTTCTGTTTTTTGATGTAGACCTTTAGATTTTTTACTATTTCCTTTATTTTAATATATTTTTCCCAAAGTAAACCAAACATGAGACCATCAGCAGATAGATGCTATTCCTACATTGGATTATATCTCAGGAAAGTATCCCCTCCAAGGGATTTGTATTCTTTCAAATCAAATCTTTATGTTGCTTCCCAGTACTCTTTAACAATTCTTATGCACATGCAACAATTATTTATGACTAAATACACACTTAGGGTCCTGAAGTTAAGCATGAGAGAATCAGTTCCAACAACAGCAGAGAATGAAATGCTGGCCAGGATTGAGGGAGGTAGATTATGGCAATCTATTATCATGATCTTGTGAAACAAAGAATGGAGTAAAAAGCAATTTGAAAGAAGTTTTGCAAATATTTTTAATAGATAGTATGAATTTTCCCTTTTGATCTGTTCTCTTTGTACATATTGTTTCCTAGTTTGGGAATAGATTATGGGGTCCTTCGTGATCTCTGAGCTTGATGGTTTGCTTGCAGATATTTCATTATCAAACTAGGTAATATCAGTGCATGGTTATATAGAATAGATGCTCTGTTCTGATTATAGTTTTATCATACTACATTTTTATGACTGTACTTTTTGTACTTTACAGTCATTGTAAAGTAAGGAGGGCAATCACCACAGTACTCTATATTGTAATTTCTATCAGATTGCTATGGCAATAATTGGATAGGCAACTATAGTTATTTTTATGAAAGGAAAGTAAGAACACGTCACTAGGTGAAATATGTGGAGATTTTTTAGTTGTGGTAAATGATTTTTAGTTAAGTTTTACTGTTTTTTTAATAATGTAGAAAATCAACAGAAAACTGACAGCATGTAAAATCCTTTTTTTAAACCCAGGAGAAGATTTAAATGCATAAAAATGCTTTACAGTGTAGTAAAAAGATCCTTAAAATTATAAATAATAGTTGTAATTTTTAATGCCATCTTTACTTAAGATAATGATATTTTGTATGAATCTGCATCAGTTTCTATGTTGAATTTTCATTTGCGTGGGGTGGGGGGATGTTGAAGATATTGTAATGTAAGTGCCTGATGACAGATTTCTCTCTTTTCAGGGTAAAAGAAGTAAATGAAACTAACAAACGAGTAGAACAGGAAATCAAAGTGGCTATTTTTACCCTCATTAATGAAATCAATAAAAAGGGAAAATCTCTCTTACAACAGCTTGAGGTACAATTAAATTTAACAGTGAACATAATGTGGGTATCCATGTGTATTATTCTTTTGATTTAAATAATCTTTTAATAGCTCTTTTCTTGATATAGCCTGTTGTCAGTGGCAACAAACTCAGTTTATATTTCTTTCCACTTTAATCTGGTCATAGGAAGAAGATTAGAAGCATCCATTTTCATCAAAATTCTGGAGAATTTTATTGATTTAATTTAGTCTATGGTTTCTCCAAAGAAGTTTAGAATTGGATTAGTTTATTAGTGTAGTGTATAAACATGCAGTAGTTTAATTCAATCTATACCAGGTTTAAGATATTTGTTTTTCCCCTTAAGATTCAGTCTCCACTCCAAGATTGAAAATGTTAGCCTATCTAATGGAATAGGTGCTCTGAAATCCACAAAAGGTGTTCTGGCAAATGATCACTCTTGATCTAAATGGTAGCTTGATTTCGTTGGTTTTGGCTTAGCACCGTTAGGGCACAGTTAGCAGCCAGAAAAGTTCAGGCTAACTTGGTGAACTAAACTAAATATGAGAGTAGGAATGCAAAGAATATAAACATGCATCTATTGTCAGTAAAACATTAAAAGGGCTAGAGACAGGAGGAAACCCAATTCCCTTTTTTAAAGAGGGAGGGGTTGGAAGACATTGTAAAAGGTTTGAGATCTACCCAGATAAAAATTCTAAACTACGGTTCCAACATACTCAGAAATTTCTGTTGGTTGTGATTCTCATAGTCTTTGTGGGAATCTGACAAGAACATTATATGAACCTATCCAGTTGTAACTTTTTTTTAAAAAAAAACATAATTAAATGCAGTAGTATGATATATAAAATAAAACATAATATTAATTTCTTATTTAGTGTTGTTTGGATGTCTCCCTTTTTCAATATGGAAATGGTCTTCATTCATTAGCTATCCTGTTTCTATGTCTGCAGAGCCTTATTCAGGAGCAGGCTAGCTAAAACTATTGGTTGCCACTCTACACTGATGCAAGTGCTGAAGAGTTACACCACCGATGCCTTCACTCAATCCACTGCAGTAGTTTTGCTCTATCCACTACAGCAGTTGCCATATTCTTACTTTCTCTTTTTGAGTGTAGTTGAGCTGAGCTCTTTTTCATTCAGTTTTTACTCAGACTTAACATAAAGTTTTATTTCTTCATTATGGTTCATCTATTTATGCTACATTTTTAAAAATATTCTATGTATATCCTTAGTGTTGACTGTGACTTCAAGGGGCACGCTTAGAAAATCTGCTGTTGTAAGAATACATTGCCCTTACAAGGCAAAGATTGTTATAAAGGTGATTCCTTTGTTTTGTGAGGTTTTTTTTTGAATAGGTTTATCAATAAATCATCTAGACTTCACCTATGTTTGAGAATACTTTAAGATATGAATGTGATGGTTGTCAGTGTAGGCATTTATACCTTTACTATCTTTTATGAAATATTAAATAAATAAACTTATACAGGACTGGTCTAGTCTGGTCTGGTCTACCGTGTTTTCCTGAAAATAAGACAGGGTCTTATTTTCTTTTGGGCTTCAAAAGAAGCATTTGGGCTTATTTTCGGGGAGGTCTTACTTTTTAAAGTGCTACTGCTGTCCCTGCTTTCTCCGTCATGTTGTCTGCTTGCCCGTGACTGCAACGAGCCAAGTTCTCAGCATGCCTTGGCTTCCTAGGTGCAACACAAATACCAGAGGCGGCAGCAAGGGAGGGGAAAGAGATGGAGGGGGAGGAGGGAGAAAAGTGATCCCAGAAGCAGCAATGGAAGCAGCAATCTCTCTCTCCTCCACACCCCCAGCGGCAGTGGCGGAGCTTCAGTGCCTGGCTGGTGGGAAGCTTCTCACCCACCCTGCCTGCTGGCCCAGCTGCTGCTGGGACACTTCTCGGCTGTGGCACGCCCCATGCTATTGGTGTCGCAGGCAGAGCTGTATTGCCTCGCTGGCTGCTGCCTTTGGGGCTGCTGTTGGGATGAGCGTAGATGTAATATTTCAGAAATGTTACCTGCAGAGATCTCCTGATGCAACACTTTGCTGCAGCTTTAGAGCATGCCTTTGCCTTCCCTGCAGAGGATTGCAAGGTTGGAGGCTTGGCCTTGCTTCGATCAGCAGGAAAATTCCCCTCCCTCATTTCCCTGCCAATCATTCTATCCCTGGGGAGCTCTGCACAGACACACATTCCAAAAAGGCTCCCTCCAAAGTCTTCAACCTTGCAATCCTGAGCAGGGAAGGCAGAGGTTTGCTCCGAAGCTGTGGCAGAGCATTGCACTGGGAAGCCTCCGCAGACAGAATGAGAGGCAGCTCCGGGCCTTTGCTGGCTCAACTGATCAGCAGCCGTAATTAAGATGCCGAGCTTCCATGAGGTGACAAGGGACAGGAAGGGCTGCCTCCTGGGCTGGGCACGCCCACTCCTTCACTAGGTCTTATTTTCAGAGGAAGGCTTATTTTAGCCCATGCGCTGAAAAACCCGATTGGGCTTATTATCAGGGAATGTTTTATTTTGGGGGAAACATGATATTGATAAATGAATCGAGATTAAGGGTGCTGCTGATCGTAATATAAGAAAAGACTCCAGACTGCTACTATCATAAAATGTTGTGGAAAACACTATTATCCATATCTTTGATTTCCAAGACATGGGAAACCATTTCTGAATTCACAGAAATAGTTACAACATTTGATCTCAACTCCTTCATTATTGAATTTGCTCAGTTTAAAAAAAGACTGAAAAAAGGCAGGAATTAAATTGAAGAGATGTCAATTACTACATCCCTAATAATTCATTTATTTTTCTACTATCAGCATTTCCTATTAGAGAAAATAAATCGGGAATGAGCATTCCCAGAAAGCAAAGTGCTATGTTAAGGTGTTTGTACAGTAAGGCCATGACGTCTGTTAAGCTACAAATTAATGCAGAGCCAGCAACATATAAATTTAATAAATAAATAATAATGTGGGTTATGGCCAGATACTGCTATCGTACGCTAACTTGTTGTTACTGTTTCTTCTGACATCTCTTTTTGAACTTCAAGGCATTTTGTGGACTAGGACTGAATTTGGTCTTTGAAAGGCATATCAGAAACAACATTCAGGGTGGGGGGGGGAGGCAAAGCAAGAACAATTACTCAATTGGATTTAGCTGATTTAATTTAAATGTTTATTGGTTTAAATTTAAAATTTCTTACTATGTGTTTAAAAAAATTTCTATTCTTCCACTTTATATACTACAATTTAATAGAAACATTTGGAATTCAAAGGGGCTTCATGTCTTTTTCCCTCCTCTTATAGTGTCTTTAGTCTGCTTTACACTTTCGGTGATTCATTCAAATACTTCTGCTGATTCTTGGATTTTTGAAGTTGTCTGGAAACCTTTCTTAGACAATTGTACCTTTCTTCCTCCTTTGGAAGATATCTACTGTGCAAAGGAGTGATAGAAGAGGGTTATTATGATTGACTAGTTCAGTTCTTTAACAATATTTCACTCTTCTCCAAAAAGTGAAGTGTCGTGTCAAGTCTTCAGGATGTCATAATTTTTATTACATTGAAAGAATCTATAAAGCAAATGTTCTCTCATTATGAAGGCTGAAGTCCTGTTTACTTATTAGAAATAAAGTTATCTTTAAGTCAGTTCCAGTTCCTGGTGACTTCAGGGATATATTCATTTCATTCAGTTCTCTTGGCAATAAGATGCTTTGCCGCTGCCTGTTTCCGGAATACCTTTTTAGCTTCCTAGTCTGGTATGTAGCATTGAAATTCTTGGCAGTGTTCCATCTAGGAACTAACTGAGCCCAGACCTATTTAGGTTTCAAGTCAAAATCGGCCAAGTGTTGCCACCTGCTAAGATATTTATTATAACATATTTTAAAAATTGTTTGTCTTCAGTTAAATAGCAATCATACCCAAACCACACCTCATTGGTAGGATTTTTACATTCTTATGCATGTTAACCTAAAAGCTAAATGAAAATACTTCGGAAACTTTTCCTCATCAATTCAGGTTCTGAGACTTACTGTATTTTTCAGAGTATAAGACGCACTGGAGTATAAGACGCATCAAGGTTTTGAAGAGGCAAATTAAAAAAAAAAGTTTTTGCACTCTGCAAACCTCCCAAAAACGGTCTGTTTTTCATGATAGTGGGCACTTTTTTTCCAAAAAAGGCATTTAGCCTTTAGGAGGTTTATACAGTGCTACTGGGAGCTGGGGGGTGGGGGGGATTGAGCAAAAAATGGCCATTTTTTAAAATCATTTCTGCCCTTCCCAACCCTCAGAAGCACTTTGAAAGCCTCCTAAAAGCTATGCATGGCCATTTTGGTGAAGGTGGTAGGGTTTCGGGATGCAAAAAATGCTGTATTCAGTGTATAAGACTCACTCAGATTTTCAGCCTCTTTTTTGTGGGAAAGAGGTGTGTCTTATACTCCAAAAAATATGGTAGTTGAAATTTATCAATGATTCTTGCAAAATTTTCATTACTACTTGAACTTTCAAATGACTTCTCATTGCTGATTTTTAAACTATCTTTCTTAGTGACAATCACATCAGTATAACAGTCTTGACAAACTTTATATCTTGTGTATTGATTATATATAAAATTCCACAGAACAGTTCTTTGACCTGATTTAATCTTACGAAAAATGCTTTTAAAAAATGTTCCATCTCTGTACTATTAGTAAATCAGCTTGCTGACCATTCATGTATGTAACACAGAAATCATTGGAAAGATCAGGTTGCTTACATGCAGCTGCAGTTGTAGTAATCTGTTCTTTTCATGTTGGCAGTGTCAGTTGGCAGTTTCTAACTTTTCTCAATGAGGGCCTGCCAAATATACACAACTATACAATGTTTCTTCTTGCAGTTTTATATAGAACCCTAACTGAATAAACAAATGTGCATTCAAAAACCCGTAGTTACAGGTAAGCAACCTGATTTTTTCTATATAAAACTGTTTATATAATTGTAAACATTTATTCTAGAACAAAGTAAAGGAACTAGTTGCAGAAACCACTTGACTGTAAATAGGTATACTTCTTTCTTGCGAAGTCATATTAAAATCCTTGCCTGTGTTGAATGAAATATGATTCATTTCATTTCTCTTACTGGTAATATTTTCCTTTTTTGGATTATGTTTTCTGATCATATCTTCTCTTAGTTTTAAGTGTAGGACAGACTGCCTGATGGGAGTTAGAAGCATATTAATAAAGCTGCTTATTCCATGCCCCCCCCAAAAAAAAACATCTAGTTGAAACATCTACAATATTGAATAGCTAGATATTAGAAATGTGTTAAGTGCTACAGTAGTTTATTCTAAAAATTTCGGTAGAAATTTTTTAAGTTGAAGCTAGAAGGCCATCAATCATTGTATTAATTTTTCTACTTTGTACTAGATTCCCCCCCTCACTTTAATACCATAATGTGTTGGATTACAAGTATTACAAAACCATAATACTTGGAGAAGATCAGAAGCTAGACTAGATCATTTTGAATAAATTATCTTTTAATACATTGATCAGAATACATTGTTAGCAAAATAATTGTAGAAAACAAATATTGAGCATAAGGTGAGAAAGAAAGCATGATTAATATTATGCTGAATGATAAATACTTTTAGTGACAGAGATAGAGTAACAGTCACAGTCATGATTTGTTGTACTTAACATAGTGTCATTGGGTTTGAGTTTCATCAGAAAACGTTGAGATTTGTTTAGTTTAGACCTGACAGTGGAAAATGTTACTTATCCTGTATTGTAAACTTCCAGCTTCTGAAGAATGACTTGAAATACTGTAGGATTTTGATGTTACAAAAATAACTTAGCCTTTCCACCGAGAAATCATAATTCTGTTCCATGGTAACTTACCATTGCATTTCTCAGAAATGTGGTGTACCTCACTCTTCCTTTAATTTTAACATGAGTTTCTGTTTTAATTAAGAAACATCATTATAAAACCTATTTCAGTG